CACCTGTGTATTTATACTAAAACAATTATTCACTTCAGGCTCAGTGAATATCGGGAATAATAACGTCAACGTCGGCGAATAATTGTTAAGTAAACACCGACCATGTTGGAAGGCAGAACAAAGTATTCTCTTTCATTGTCATCCAATATAGCTGCCATCATATGGTCGTGCAATATCGCTCTATAAAATAGGTGTGAATATCTTGGAAGAAGAAAGGTAATATTGAAATGAAGCTTCACCTGTAAGCCCGCAAAGAATTACTGGGTAATAATCTTGGCACAGGTAGACCAAGCTGCTGTTATTGTACAAAATTACTGTTGTCTGTAAAATAAAAGAAGCCAGCTTTCTGTGGAGAAAAACCGAATATTAGTCACTTCTTTCGAATCAATTGATACAATCATTGAGACCTACCTTTTGTTATCATTCTTTCCTAGGGTCTTCCTAACTTTGGGCCGTTCTTAAAGCAACGAAACGAAATCATAGCTAAGAACAAACGAGAGGGCAACATCCTTACTGAGGGGGTAACCCCACCGGCAAAAACAAGAACATTAGTCAAACAGTCAAAACCAACACCTTCAGTCAAGGTAATGTTAAGGGGCAAGGTAATGCTTTGGTTCCTGTATGGGGGAGGGGGGGGGAGGAACGTTATTTAGTGGGAAAAGGGCTTGGGGTTAAGAGGAGAAGGTCATGAAGGTCATCAGTAAAACTTTGAACGTTTGTGGAGGGTCAAACCTTTACAGTTTGACGACACCTGTTTCCTTGTTGACTTGAAAGGAGGGTCATGAATTTCCTTAATAAAGGAAAGGGGGCCCTCATCTACCTTTCTAAAAATACTGTTGAGGGGCACCGGTGCCATCAATACCTTCCAACTGTTGGCTTGGTTGATAGGGAGGAGTGTGCTGCCCGCACCCTGAKGAGGAGGAGGAGGAGGGGGAGAAGGGGGAGAGGGAGAAGAAGGAGAAAGAGGAGGAGAAGGAGAAGGTGGAGAAGGAGGAGGAAGAGAAGGAGGAATAGGAGGAGAAGGATGAGGTGGAGAAGGAGGAGGAGGTGGAGAAGGAGGAGGGGAGGAGGAGTAGGAGCAGGAAGAGGAGAAGGAGGAGGAGGAGGAAAAGAAGGAGGAGGGGGAGAAGGAGGAAGAGGAGGAGAAGGAGAAGGCGGAGAAGGAGGAAGAGGAGGAGGTGGAGAAGGAGGAGGAGGAGGAAGAGAAGGAGGAGGTGGAGGAGGAGGAGAAGGAAGAGGAGGAGGAGGGAGAAGGAGGAGGAGGATGAGAAGGAGGAAGAGAAGGAGGAGGTGGAGATGGAGGAAGAGGAGGATGAAGAGGAGAAAGAGGAGGAGGAGAAGAAGTAGGAGGGGGAGGAGGTGGAGAAGGAGGAAGAGGAGGATGAAAGAGGGAGGGATACAACCATTTCAAAAGTTTACGGCCAATCCCCCAATCACCAAGCAAAGGGTATGCAAACCTATAAATAACAAATGAAATATCAATACCCTTGCTCTTATCAGGACATTATTGGATTGGCACTTGACAAGATAGGTAACTATGGAGACCTTGACAACAAACAGCAAGTGATAGCTAAGATTGATGAAGAAATGTGCATCAACTGTGGCAAGTGCTACATGACCTGCAACGACTCTGGTTACCAGGCTATCGAGTTTGACCCGGTGACCCACCTGCCACGTGTGACTGATGACTGTACTGGGTGCACGCTGTGTGTTAGTGTCTGTCCTATCATAGGTGGGTGTCTTTTTTCCTTCTTCAAACCTTATGAAATGTCCTCAGGTTTTTCAAGGAGCTTTCCTTTTTTTAAACATCATCTGTAGTCTTGTTGATGATTTGAATCCAGAATAGTGTAGCTGCGATGTACTTGTCTTACACCCCTGGGACCCCGGATTCCTTGACTCAACATCACATATGAGTAGGATTTGTTGGGGCACTCCCTTGACGCGATGGTTTTTCTCCAGCTTTACTTGCAGCCCTCAGGGCAGCCGCCATTTTATGGTGTCCAAGTCATGGCAGAAGACTAACCATTTGCAGTTATTTTTATTTAGAACAAAGATAACATATTTTACTCAACATATTCTACATCAGCAGAAGAAAGTAAAAAATATTCTGAAGTTCTAAACTCATTCTGAATAGTTTGTTATTCTCTACTTTTTCTCACAGACTGTATCACCATGGTTAACAGGCCAACACCCTACGTCCCCAACCGAGGTGTCCCTCTCGCTGTCATGGCGGAGTCTTAAGCCCACTACCTTATATCAGCATGTTTATTACGTTCTATATATTGAATAGGATATATGTTATCAGTGAACTGGCTTTTCTTATTAATAGTTTGATATTATCTAAGGTAGTGTTAGATTTAGAATTGTATTGCACGTGCACAAGTAGTGTGAAACGTAATATATTCAATATTTAATGCACTGTGTTTAGGATATACTACAACCTGCAATATGATTTTTCATACATAAACTACCACAATCCTTTTCTAAATCTTTTTTCATATTCAAATGTTAAATCTCCTTTTGAGAATACCAATACAATAGTGAAAATTAGCTACCAAAAGGGATTGTGTAAGTGTAGGTATAAAACGTCGCCGTGCTTGAGGCCTATTGGTTGTACATGTGTTAGGCTGTGAATGGTAGATAGTGCTTGGTAGAAGCATGGAAAGGAAGACAAGAGAAAGGTGTTAGAAAGGAGGGTAATTGGAGGTATTATAGATGTTTAATTCTTATCTACTTACTTTTAACATGCACGTATAGCCTCGTAATGCTCTGTTCCATGGGACAATCCCATTAGCCTTGTATTATCTTATCCTGTTTGATCATATCTTTCTCTCGCCATTCTTCACACGAAGAAAGAATCTCTGATCCCGCTGCATCCCATGACTATGTATACTACCTTTTATCCTGTATGTGCCCCCGTGCCCTGCTTTACCCTTATTCCCCTCCACCCTGTACTCACCGATTATCCTGTATTCATCTTTTATGTTCACCCTTGCCCAGCTTCACTCCTGTTCCCCTCCACCCTGTACTCACCTTTTGTCCCCATTGCTCTGTTTTACCCTTTACCCTGTACTTAACTGTTATCTTGTAGCATCTTTCATCCTGTATATTTCCCCCGTACCTACCTATGACCACTCCGTTACTCCTACAATAACCCATTACTGTTACTAAGCTTAGACACAGGACTAGCCATAAATTCCTTTTGAATTTTTTGTTGTTTTTTGTTGTTTTGTTTTTTTGAAATTCATTCATAATCCATCTTCGAATTTCAGGGATAAAAAGAGGTTGTCTAGGACTTCAACGTTTTCATATTAATTCATTATAGTTAAGAATAAATGTGTATTCTACAATTTCAACTGCTACAGTTTATCTTTAATTATTGCTATTTTAGATAGATTATTGGTTTGTCAAAAAATGTATCCTTGTTGCTGGGTTTCAATCAGCTTATAAATATTTTGAATCTCATTTGCTACGAAGTCAACGTTGGTCTTGATAAATGAATAAACACATCAAATCAAACCTCGAGGCTACTCACGCGAATTCGGGAAGAACATCCGTTTTTAGTGTCGACCGACACTAAAAAATTGGAAACTCCTATCGATTCAGATGAACATTTCGTTCGAGACCTTTCTCGTTCCCAGATCCTCCTCGGTTGTCGTTCCTTCCCGCCAGAAGCTCTGGAAAATCCTTCAAATTCTTGCAATTCGATAGGCTTTAAGGAAGAACAATAGATCTACTTTTTGATTGGATAATCGAAGGTAGTAGCGGGTAGACAAATAGATGTTTTTGTTCGCCATTCGTGGATTTCACAAAATCAAAGAACAAAACACTCAACAGCGTTTTCTATTTCCTCCATAATATTTCAAATAACATTCCTTTCCTTAACAAATCTGGAGAAAAACCACCTCTTGATCTACATTGATTTAAATTAAATACAAATTAGTTAAAACGCGCGGATAAAAAGCCTCATAAGTGCTTCGTACTTGTTTGCTTCTTCAAACATGTCTTTGTGCCAGAAGTGCGAGGGACAAAACTGTTCATGTTTTGGTAGGTTTTTGTTTCATTTAGTTTCTTTCCAAAAAAAATTGAAAGTAAAATTAGCATATTCGTACAATATCACGAAGAAGTTTATGGAGAAAGTTTTCACTCGTGTCGTTGCAACTATAATCATTCAAGCCGGCCTTTTCTCATCGTACATACAACGCTCCACCAGGATTGGCTACATTGGTCAGGTGATTGTCATAAGATGCGGTACCACAAGGATCATGGACAGGCCGGCACTTGTCAGTTTTTCCTTCTAAATAAATATAATTATTTGTATTGAGCAATATAGCTGGCCCACAGGTTTTTGTGGTATCAAGCGTATTTGGAGCGACAGTGGAACAGGTTGGTGTAATGACCTTGACAATTCTACACGTCACACTTCCTGCCACAAAGTTCACAAGACTTCCGGTTCCGTCTACACAGGCTACCCAGTTAGTGATATTAGGCTTTAGAAGGATCTCGTTACCAATCTTCTTCCACAGAGAAAAATCCATGGCCGAGTGAGAAGGCTCACTGAGCGGGGTTGTCGTAGACTGAGGCGCCCATGTCCCAGAAGACTTGTCCACAGGCCAGTTTGGTATTGGAGTCACTGCGTTTGCCCCATCAGTAAACGTAGTATACTGAGTAAATGTATAGCTGTAGACAAGGGTCCAGCCTCCTCCATCGGTGGTCATATCACAGAACACTTCGAATGGCGCAGACGATATCTCATTGAACTTCATCCAGTAAACACCTGACTTTACCTGGTTGTCAAGGTTCTTGAACCATTTACAGGATAATATTGGTTTATGAGGAGAAAACCCGAGAGCATCCCGTATCTCCATGTAGATGGTGTTTTGTTGACTAACAATCTTCTCTGGGTGTCTAGTCTTGGTAGAGTACTTCAGTTCACATGTCTTGTTCGTCAGGTTCATGTTGATGCTTGCACAATTTATGTTGTCCTCACATTTTCTGTAACATGCAAAGATTGTTTCCACCTTGGACGATTCAAGAGTGAATCCTTGCAAGTACACATCTTTTTCTAAGTATTGTTTGGTCGGCCACATCGTAGCGTAGGTGACTTTGTGCTTGAGAAGGAACAGCATAAAGACGAACACAAGCTGTGTCTTCATCCTGAACATGTCGAATCTGTAAAAAATAATTAGCTTTAAAAAAACACTTTGAATTTTTTTTTTAATCTAAAGACGTAGGAGAAGAAGATGCAAGTTGGAACAAGAAGAACAAAAAGAAGAACAAGAACAAGAAGTAGAACTACAAGAAGAAGAAAAACGAGAAGAAAGAAAAAGAAGAACTGAGAAGAAGAAGAAGAAGAAGGAGAAGAAGAAGAAGAAGAAG